TAAAGCCTCCACATGCTTCCTAAAGTGTGGTGGCCACAATATTCCAATTATAGCCTAACTAAAGTTTTATACAGCTGCAACATGACTCACCAACATTTATACTCAATACCCCGACCAATGAAGGCCAGGATGCATATGCCTTCTTTACCAGCTTATCCACTTGTATTGCCACTTTCAGGGAGCTTTGGACTTGCACTCCAAGATACCTCTGTATATCAATACTCCTAAGGGTCCTACCATTTACTGTATACTTCCCTCTTGCCTTTGACCTCCCAAAATGCATGACCTCATAGTTGTTCGGATTAAACTCCATCTACCATTTATCTGCCCAACTTTCCAACTGACCTATATCTTGCTGATTCCTTTGACAGCCTTCCTCACTAGTGACAACTCCACCAAAAACTTATTAATCATACCACTTACATTTTTCATCCAAATCATTTATGTATGTGTATGTGGGTATATATTACTAACAGAGATCCCAGCACTGATCTTTGCAGAACACCACTGGTCACAGACCTCCAGTCAGAAAAACACCCCTCCACAACTACCCCAGGTCCTCTATGACCAATCCAATTTGAAATAAGTGCCAACATTCCATTAGCCTTCCTGATTATCTGCTGCCACAGTGTACTACATTTCTGTGTTTCATGCACAAGTACCCAAAGTCCCTTTTGTGTTGCAGCTTTTCTCCATTTAAATAATACCGTTTTTTTTCCCTTCCAAAATATACAACCTCACATTTTCCACTATTATTCTCCATTTTCCAAGTTTTTGCCCACTTATGTAATCTATCTGTATCTCTCTGTAAACTGTTTGTAGCCCCCTTGCAACTTGCCCTTTCACCTATTTTTGTGCCATTTGTAAATCTGGCTATTGTACTTCTATCCTCCAAGTCATTAATCTATATTGTAAACATTTGTGGTCTAGCACTGATCCTTGTGGAATCCCACTGGTCACGGTTTGTCAACCTGAAAAAGAACCCCTTATCTCCACTCACTGTTTCCTGTCTATTAGCTAATTCTCTATCCATGCCAATATACTACCTCCCAACATCATGGGGGTCTTACAACTAAACCTATTGAGAAGTCCCCTGTTGAACACCTTCTAGAAATCAAAATACAATACATCTACTATTTTCCTCCTATCCATTCTGGATGAGACTTCCTTGAAAAACATGAATAAATTGTCAAATAAGATTTCTCTTTTATGAAATTATTCCCTTGGAGTGTTGAAATCAGACTCTCCTCTCATGACAGCTTTGTCCTGGGAAGGCACAGTTGCAAGTTGCATTGTTTGAGTTCCTGCCTGGACAGCCTGGTACCACCAGTCATGTTCCATTTAGTCTGTGGGGATAGTTCAGCAAAGCCAAGAGCAGTGTTCCCTATTACGTCTTGTGGGGAAGATAAATACATTCTTACCAACCGCTCCTTAAATGTACTCATTCTATGTGAAATACTGCATTACCCATTCTCTCTCCCTCAAACCATACTGCTCCCATTCTCGTGGCTGAGAATTTCAAATATCTAAGCAGCTGATTTTGAGTAATATAGCCATCACTTGTTCTAAACGTTTTGGGGCCTAATTCTCACTGGCCACTTTATTCATTAACTCCTTCTACTTTGTTATGATCTCCTCATCTCCCCATACTCTGCACCCCCTGTAGGAAAGAATAAGTTAACAAAATCCTTTGAATTTGGTGTGACAGTAAAACCTCTGTGGTCTGGTGCTTTAGAGGAATGATTTGAGAATTGAAAATCTGCAGCTACTAATCTGTAGCCTATTCTGTGTTGCCAATCTCTCCATTTTCCAATGGATAGATCACAGTGCATTATCAGTAGCTCTCTACACCAGCTGTCTACTGTCTATTACAGGATAGTACACACCTTCCTCACCATGCATAGCATAGCAACCTGCCTATCTTGGGCAAATGCCACAAACCTTGTATCATTTCCATTTAAGGCAACAGTGTAAATCATTGGATTCAGCTGAGAAGATTTTGGAACCAAACCAGAGACTACATCATTTTAATCAGCAGACATTGGGGATAAAGCCAACAACCCACATGTGTACCATCATGAAACAGAAACACTTTAAAAATCATGTGTGCCGCATGCATTGCACCATTAAAATCTATTAAATATACTGGCAATTTCTGACACACTTTGTTTTCTCACTTTCCTTTCTTGCTCTACATCTCCCATTTGTTGTCTTCCTTGGCGTCAGAAACAGATATGACTATTAAAGCAGATATTTAATCATCCTTAATTGTATGATTGAAGTCAGGAGCAGGAGGATTGCTGATATAGATCTGCAGCAAGTATAATTAATTGCATGGCTGCTACCTGCCTCTCTCTACTTGTTATAACACCCATGGTTTATAGTAGGATATTTGCCCCAGCAAAAATGTGCCTGCACACCCACTCTACACCCACAGTACTCCATGGTCTTTCAAGAGAAATATGTGAAAGATTTTCAACAAACTTAAATGAATGAGATCAAGTCCAGCATTTAAAGAATGCTGTTGGGTGGTATAATGGAGAGTAAGTAAATGATTTGCTGCTGACTCAGTGTTAAAGTGAAGGATTGAGTTTTAAGGTTTTGTGTATGATTAATTCTCTTTTGCAAAATTGATATTATTTTGTGAGAAATGGCAAAAACTAGCATCTGCTCTGTAAGGAGTAGATCAAGCAAGTTAAACCTTTTCTCTCACATTGATGTATGATGTAGTTTGGAACATTTAAGTGGGAAGACCAGTTTTGTAGTTCCCCATTTCAGTGCAGTATTCTGATAAACCTGGCTGATTGGGATATTTTGGGTGGATCTGTCAAACGCAAGCTGCGGTAACGTGATATAGTGCTTTGTAATACAAGCTGCAACATATCTCCATGTAAATAATTGTTTGGCGGTACAGAACTCAAGTATTGCAGAAAAATGCCACATGTTATCAAAGCTTTTCATCCTGCTTTGAACAGGATAATTTATTAGTCATACCAAAGTAAAGGGAAAACTATATTGGATCAGATGTGAGTGCCAACTGTTTGGTGAGTGGGCTATGGTAGAGGTGTACCATGGATAATGCACCATTTAATGATGATCTCAATCAAATATATTGAAATTTTAAACGAGGCATTGCTGTGAAAAATTAACCAGAGAATTGCTGTCACCTCTTTTCTTGAATTGTAACAGGCACAGTCCGTGTACATTTTCTATTTGTGTGCAAAGAACAGGGCACTGTGCATTGATATATGTAGCTTCTAGTACAGGAAAGTGCAACCTATTGTGAGCCAAATGATGTAAATTGATTGTCAGTGTAATTCTTTACATACTCACAATTAATGAGCAAAGGCAGTCCAATTGTGGAGTCGCATCCTATATTGGACATTGTGCTGAGAGTCTTGCAAACATGGTCTGGTTAGCTATGGTTTGTACCCCGCTTTTGCAAACAACTGAGGTTGTGCTTTTTGATATGATCCACTAGTGTGCAGTCTACACATATAGCATCACACCATCACTGAAATTCATATACCACATTACTCATTTATGTGATAGCAGAATGACTTTTTGGCTTGATGGTGGCACCCTGTTAGTGCTGAACGTGAAATGTGATTCCGTGACTGAACAGCATTTTCTAAATTATCCCGAGTGTGCGAAGAATTACACTTACCTTATATTGGTACCCCGTAGTTATTGACATCTCTGCTTACAGAAATTGGTTCTTGCAATCCATTCCATCTAGACCACTCAAATTTTCATTCACCTTAATTAAATCACCCGTCAACCTATCCAATTTTTTATCATAGTTAAAATTCTCCATTCCTGGTAATGTCTATATTGATTTCCTCTGTACCATCTATACTGTATTCATATTCTCCATGAAATGCATGGTCGGATTTGTATGCAGTACTCTCAATTTGCTCTAAATAGTATTCTCTACTGTTCTAACGTAACATCCCTGTGCTTATACTTTGTGTTAGCTGATGATGGAAAGCATCCAGTATGCCTGTTTGTGCTACCCTGCACCCCCTGTTTTGTTTGCCCTCTCTAAATGCAATACCTCACATTTCTACAGATTGAACTCTATATTTACCACTTTTTAGCTTGACCACCTGACCAGTCCATTCATATCTTCCTGCCGTTCACAGCTCTTCCTCCTCACTATTAACCACACTATCAATTTCTGTACCATCTGCAAACTTCTTAATCATGCCCACTAGTTTAAATTTAAATCATTGACCATGTAGTATGAGCAGCAAGGAATCTAGTATGGAGCCCTGCAGAACCGCATAGGAAATAACCTTCCAGCCACAAAGTACCTGTGGTCATTGCCTTTTGCCTTCTGCCACTGGTGTGGTTGCCTTTAGGTTCAATTTGTCATTTTCTCTTGGATCGCACGAGCTTTGAATGATCTGATTAGTATGCCACAATGTTCAGCCCAGAGATGAGTATGAGGCCATGACCGAGGTATGATGTCAGGTTCATATTGGTACCCTTGCATTGAAGTGCCCAATTAACCAACCCGCAGGAAATCAAGGAGCAAACATGGAAACATGCCTCTGGCTTCTTATAAGACCATGCCTGGGCCTACAATGACACAATTGGGTACAAATACAGTTTTTCACCATTGGGAGATTCTGGGAGTTTATTAAGGAAAATAACCAGGGAGGGGAGTTGAAGTGAGTTTTCTGTCATTGCATATACAAGAACTGTCCCTGGAACTGGCTTTATTCAAGTGCATTGTAAATTTGATAATTATGCCGCAATTGATGATGTATCACTGATCAAACAGATGTCAACCTCACAAACCCCAAGCAACTGTAATCTAGCACCATTGGCTTGGATCCAGATTTATCCCTCGTGATCCCTAAATAGCAGCTATAAATTATGTATTTATGTTTCATGTTTTCTGTTGCAGTGTACGATTGTTTACTTTAAAATTTAATGTTCACGGTTCCTAGGCTTTGTTTCTTAATTGTTTATTCTTTATTCTTTCATTGCAGATGCTGAGGGTAGTGAAGCTCTCTGTAATGGAAAAGACTCAGAGGTGACTCTGCCAGTGGATAATCTAATCACCAATGGTGCTGCTGATGTGCTTACAAATGGCGTGGTGGAGGTCACTCCCACTCCAAACACGCTTAAAATCAAGATTCATGTGCCTGGATGCGACACCATTAGCTTACAAGTAGGTTCTTAGTAGTGTTGATTTACCATTTGGATTTCCTAACACCATCTCTCAACAACCACAACCTTCTTTATAAAAAAAATCAGGTAAAGAGAAAAGCCTCCAGGTGGTGTACTCAAAAAGAAGCTGCACACAAAACTACAGAAGATATTCTGGAAGCAGTGACCAAGAACTTGGTCAAAGGGGTGAATTTTGGTTTGGGCATTACAAAATAGGCAGAAAAGTTTGGAGTGTTTCCAGAGTGTGGGGCCCCAGAAATGCTGCAAATATGACTGACTTTCGTGGCTGAAAGGAGAGGGATTGCTGCAAATGAGCTGAGAGTCAGAATGGAGAGTCCGAGGGAGATGGTAGCACAGGAAGAACTTGGAGAGAAAGGAAGCGGCAAAGTTATGCTTGGTAATGATTTTTTTTAAATGAGGCAATAAAAGCCTGGTAGCCAATGTCAGTAAGGTCAGGAGTTGATGGGTTTGGATGAAATGATAGCTGTGAAGAATTGGAGGGTGATTAGGAACTGGGTAGATAAGAGATGGCAAAGCCTGGATGATGAGTTAGCAACAAATAGACCACTTTGTAGAACCTGTAGTTTGCTAATTTTGGAAATTTTGAAGAGGCTGTACATCACAATTATCACTTGAAGGTGACCAACATATATATTCGTAGTATTTGCTTTGACTCCAATCTGTAAAATGTCCATTTGGCATGACAAACCACCCAGTTATTTTAAGTGGTTTGTTCAGAGACCGTTGATAAGGACGTGGGATTTGCTGATTGTACCTCAAAACAAATCAGAATGTGTCTTTTTTCTAGGTGCCCTTTGAGGAGATGGTCCAGGAGATCATCCAGATTCTGATGGAACGTGAGGACACATGTCATCGGACCTGCTTCTCACTTCAGCATGATGGCAACATTCTGGATAACCTTGCGGGGTTGGCAAGCATAGAAGGACTGAAGGATGGATCAATTCTCCGAGTGGTAGAAGGTAAAGGGAGGCACTTTGTTAAAGGATGTTTGGTGTCTTAGCTAGATTGCCTACAAGCTTCATTTATTCAATACTCAATTGATAATAACTCATCAGAAATGTAGGGGTAGGAGTTACAATATTGTAGCTTGGTTTGTTCTCATAATTCCTCACTTATTGATGACCTAGTTTTGGCTGTGCTGTCATTGGGAACAGATGGATGTCCTCTGAGTGAGTGACAATTACTAAAGTTTAAGCTGTAAGTGGCAGAATATGTGGATACAGATCACCTGCCCAGGTTTTCAGCTAGAGCCAATACATTGTATCCGCAGACCAAAGAGTGCTGTAACATGGGGAAGGGGTTTCATGGAGTGATTTTTGGGTTCAAACCAAAATATATGCAGAAGTTAAATTGAGGAGAATAATTGGTCAATGAATGGAAAGACTGGACCTTCTTTTGTGGTATTCATTATATGTTAAAATGCTGAATGCTTTGAAGATGCTAAACATATTTACCAATAAGTGATGTTGTAAATATAGTTTCATATGTCTGCTGTACACTTTGAGAAGTCCCAATGAATTTGTTGCTTACCATGCGTAGAGACGATGCCTTCTCAAGAACTGGAAACCAGCAGTTGCAATTGAAAATGTGTTATGAAACTACAAAGGTCCCAAACATACAAGAATTCCTTAATTGTACCACATAATCAATGTAAAACCAAAACAAAAGTTTTGATCAAAAATATGATAGAGATGCAAAGTGAGTTTGCAGTGCAACACGAGAAAATATCAAAACTCAGTTGCAGTTGAGGATGGGAGCTGAGATCAAAACGCAGCCACTAGACTTCATTAACTTATTCTAAGAAAGTGAAGATGAAGCATTCAATGAAGTGAGACAGCTTCAATATTGGAATCCAATCTCTTCATGGTAAAGCAAAAAATTTGAATGCAACTCAATAGTGTAACACCTCCATCATGCCAAGAACAAATTTCAAACTTTCTTCTCAATGAACAGCATCTACACCCATTGAACAGAACACATTTATCCCAGTTGAAGAAACTCAGTCCACTGGAGGTAGAAGTCACTCTCACATCAAGTTAACTCTTCTTGTATTGTTTACCTTTCTCTCCACTCAGTCACTGAGAAGGAACATGGCACCACTATCCCATTTTCTCTTTCTCATCCACTTGCCTTTTCCCCCCCTTTTCCACTCCCCATCCCACAAGGTAAATAGAGGAAGCAGCACAGAGCAGTCAGTCAGTTATGGCCACCCCTAGGGAAAGAAGTTGGTCCTTTGAAAAAGAAAAGGGCTGTGAAGGATTCTCAACCATCAACATACGGGTACCATTGGGTTTGTTTGAGGTGAAAGACGGGTGGCATTGCAGGATGCGAGCACTTTCCTGGAACCATGAGGACATAGGAGAAGGAGGCAAAGCTTCCAAACACAATTGAGAGTCCACCTGAGTTCAAGGAAGGCAACTGCTGGCAATGAGAACGTATCTTTAATTTCGGATCTAGTGGTGGTAAGGAGAAATGTCCTTTGCAGGAAGGGCAGAGCCATGAGAAAGGCAGAAGAGAAGGAAGAACAAAAAGGCAGCAGAGGCTATACTTTTAGCATAGGATCTTCCATCAATGATGGAACTTTATGGATACACAAGAAAACCACTGCTTTAGGAGACCCAGGCAGATTATCACCAAAATCTGTGTCCTCATTTCAGATGACTCACTTTACAGCAGTGCTTGCTCTTTCCTACCAGTAGCCATCAATGACACTGTGTCCTTTGAACACTTGCAAATTTCGGCTTCTTCCACTAGCTTGTTAGTGGTTCAGAAGTGGCTATGCACCATTGTGCCTCACTGGTCATTAATTCCCATTTAGTGAGCATTGGATGGTCCTATCATTTCCAGATTGAGCCTTGGAGGGCAGTGGGTTTTGTCTTGATCTTGAAATCTTTAGGGTGCAGAGCATTATCAATTGCACTGAGTGAGATTCATCAATAGAGAGGTCTTCTTCTTCTGCGATGTTAAGCTGGGCTATGAACTCCAACAAGAGATTCCTGCTTGTACACTTGCTTTCACTACTTGCTCACTCACTCACTCATTCACCTTACTTGCTCACCTCGCTCACCTCACTCACTTACCCACTCCCCCATCCGCCATCCACCACCTTCACAAAGTATGGGGATATCTCTTGAAGAGGTAGCTTTGCATGAGTCTTTGTGAGAAGCTCAGAGGCACAATAACAGAAGTTACTTGTTCACAAGAACCACCATTAATGTGTGGTGTCCTACAGTACAGTCCAGCAGGGGTTCACTTGTTGGGATGGTCTGCTGCTTTCTTCACAACATGATCTACTAGAGAGGCCTGGAATTGGAGGACAGTGATGTACGAGATTGAGAACTCATTAGAGGAAGAGGACCATGTCATGGAGGACGAGGAGGAAGAAGAGGCAGGACACAAAGGTGCCCAGGCCGCACAGGAAAGAAGCGAGGCCCCCAGTGGAAGGCTCAATGTCAAGGTTTGTCTGATCCAAGCATGTTTCCATTGAGGCACTCTTACTACAAATGAGGAATGTACATCATTGTAGAGGTTTCACTGTCCTCGTTAAAGAATCCTTTTTGTCACTTCATCCCTCTTGTCACTGTCTTGGTTAATAGAAGTTCACACGTTTGCCATCAACTTTCAGTATTTACATGATGTTTAAAAATAGGAAAAGTGCCCAGTTAGGTGAAAAAAAGCAATGACCTACTTAATGTCCTGTTAGATGGGGTGGCTTCTGTCTCAGCCACTACTACCCAGCATTCCACTTGGGACCTTGGATCTATTCGAAGAGTAGAAGCCTCAGTAATGCAAGCCTTCCAAGAGCAGCTGAATTTTTGGCTGCTGTTGGATGGGACACAGGCACTGCATCCTATACACTGCACACTGTATTCGCCCCCTCTGCAGGGATGCCCATCATTCCTCTCCTGACTCTGTGGTCAGCCACGTCCATTGATCCCTCCTCCACGCTGCTGACAGTGCATAGTTTGTGAACCTCTTCTCTGTTCTGCACCTTTTTTTTAGGTATAACAGACTTTCGTTTCCTGCAAGGACAGAAGGAGAAAGAACATATCTGGCATCCTTGATCAAAGAGTGTTTCAAGTACATTAGCTTGCTATCTCAATACCAAGGCTCTGAACTGGGAACATACAGTGTTGCATCCTGGAGTAGCATTCATCCTCAGGCTTCTCATGTGGAGTGTCTGCCGGAGATTAAACACCAAAGGCTTTCACCATGGTCTAGCATGCATTCACCTTTCCAGAGTGAAGCAGGTCATTGAACCTTTCTTGCACAGTGGCCAATTCTCCTTCCTCCTGATGTTATTTGTAAGACCATCACTTCTGCACAGAACAAGAAAGTGGAACTTGACTTGCTAGTCTATATGGCGCAGTATTATAACAACATGTTTTAATTATGCATCTACTGCCTTACCTTGAGGTTGCTAATTTAGATCCATTTTTTGAAATTTATTTTGTAAACATTTGTATTTCATTTGAATAGCTCTCTTTCCTGCTACCTGTGATGAGTTCTTCCAGAAAATGATCAGCGTCTGTTGGATCTTCATTTAAAAGAATTGTTCTGTGAATAAATTGCAAGCATTGTCACCAAGCTTTCAATGTTAAACATGGGAACAGGAATACAGTCTTCAGCCCCTCAACTCATTCCAACACTCAGATCATTATCCCATCTACTTGCCTCGGTTCTGTAATCTTTAGTTTATTAATGTTAGTTGTTAAATTTTTAGTTGACATCCCAACCTCAAAAGTTTTTTTGGAGGGTGGGGGAGTGTGGTAAATAGTTTCAGATTTCTATTACACAATTTTTATTGTGTGTTTTCTGATTGTTCTTTATTCTTTTGGAGTTTTGTAGTTTACGGTGGAGGTGTATTGTGCTCTGGCACGGCATTGAAGTGTCTTTTTTCTGTTTCTGCCTCAGAACCATATACTGTCCGAGAGGTTAAGATTCACGTCCGTCACATCCGGGATCTGTTGAAGTGTCTGGATCCTGTTGATGCTTATAATGGCATTGAGTGTAATTCCTCTTCTTTCTTAACCACGATCTCTGAGGGAGATATTGCAGGTATGATTTGTGCAAGTACTTTGTTATGAAAAGGAGATTGGGTAATAGAGTAAGTTAGCATGATGATGTGATTAGATACAGTGTAGATTGATAGGATGAAAGCCTCTTACATTGTGAGTTGATGAACCTGGTTTTTTTGTCACTATTATTCAACAATTCTATATGAATTTGGGCAGTCTCAAAACTAATATCCAGAAGCATGTAATCCAGAGCGCATGATGACCTCATCTGGAAACCAATTTGCAATCTTATTCAATTGATGAGATTGCTGGTGATTTTATGATTTATGTGTGTTATGTCTTTAAAAATTAGCTTTTCATGCTGAAAGACAAATGCAAGAGACTTGGTGCACATGCAAACGTTATTATTAAATCAGTTTAAGTTGGAAAGCTGCATGCTAGAGCATTGCTTGTAAGAACAAATCATTGATGTTTCCCTCTGATAATGTGGCTTTTTTTTTAAAAAAACTAGCCATAAATTAATTGGTGAAACAGTGGTTGGCAAGACCCACTCTATGTAATAATTTTAAACAGCATTAATGTTATTTCTTATGGCTGAACATCAGGTTCTCATTCTTTTAAGAAACATAAACTTGAACCAGCCTCCCTGGGGAAGAAAATGTGAATGCAGAAGACCCTAAAACTTGGAAGTATTGTGAATTGTAAGGAGGATAGTGATAGATTTCAAAAAGATACAGACAGGCTAAAGAAATGGCAAACATGTGACAGTTGAAATGTAATGATGAGAAGTGATGCATTTTGGTAGGAAGAATGAGGAACGGCAATATTATCTAAAGCATATTATTCTAAACGGGGTCGAAACAGAGACCTGGGATAGAAATGTGCACGAATCTTTGAAGGTGACAGAGCAAGTTGTGAAAGCAGTCAAAAAGGCAAACAGGACTCTGAGCTTTATAAATACAAGTATGGAATACAAAAACAATAAAGCCATAGTGAACCTTTATGAAACAGTGCTTTGCCTGAACTGGAGTATTGTGTTTAATTCTAGGCATTGCATTCTAGGAAGGCTGTGAAGCCTTTAGAGACAGTCCAGAACATAGAACATAGAACTGTACAGCACAGTACAGGCCCTTTGGCCCATGATGTTGTGCAAACTTCTACCCTAAACCTAAGGTCTATCTAACCTCCACCCCTACCTTATACTATCATCCATACGCCGATCTAATAGCTGCTTAAATGCCTCTAATGAGGCTGACTCCACTACCCTCTCTGGCAATGCATTCCACTCCCCTACCACTCTCTGAGTAAAGAACCTACTTCTGACATCTCCACTCACTTTAAAACTATGCCCCCTCGTAATAGCTACTTCCACCCGAGGAAAAAGTCTCTGGCTGTCCACTCTACCTATACCTCTGATCATAATTCCAAGCCTGAGAAACTTCAGTGATATGAATTAATTGGAGGAACTTTCTTCTTGTGTCTCTGGAGAAGAAAATGTTACGAGGAATTTAATGGAGATATTCAGGATCCTGAGAGATCTGGACAGAATAGGCAGAGAGAACTACTTACTGGTGCAAGGTTGAGAACCAGTGAACACTTATTTAAGGTGATTGGCAAAAAAAAATGTTGATGTTGCAGGCTGGGTCAGCAATTATTTCCAATCTCTAGTTGCTTTTGAGAAGATGGTGATGAGCTGCCTTCTTGAACCACTGCAGTCCATTTAACATCAGTAGACTCATAATGTCGTTAAGGGGAGAGTTCCAGAATTTTGACCCAGCAACACAGTGCTGTGTCCCTCTCTGCTTGTAGTGTACATTAATGATCGAGACAAGATCGGTGCTGGGTCCACTGCTTTTTGTCATTTGTATAAATGATTTGGATGTGAATATTGGAGGTATGGCTAGTAAGTTTGCAGATGACACCAAAATTGGTGGTGTAGAGGACAGCAAAGAAGGTTACCTCAGAGTACAATTGGACCTTGATCCATTAGATAACTGTGAGGTGCTGCATTTTGGAAAGACAAAAAGTCAGGACTTATACGCTTAATTGTGAGGTCCTGTGGAGTGTTGCTGAACAAAGAGACCTTGGAGTGCAGGTTCATTGTTCCTTGAAAGTGAAGTTGCAGGTAGGTAGGATGGTGGAGAAGGCGTTCGGTATGCTTGCGTTTTTTCGTCAGTGCATTGAAGATAGGATTTGGGAGTTCCTGTTGCAGCTGTATGGGGCATTTGTTGGGCCACTTTTGGAATACTACATTCAATTCTGGTCTCTCTGCTGCAGGAAGGATGTTGTGAAACTTGAAAGGGTGCAGAAAAGATTTACAAAAATGTTGCCAGGATTGGAGGGTTTGAGCTATGGGGAGAGGCTGAATAGGCTGGGACTATTTTCCCTGGAGCGTTGGAGGTTGAGGGGTGACCTTATAGAGGTTTATGAAATCATGAGGGGCATAGATAGGGTGAACAGCCAAGGTCTTTTACCCAGGGTAGGGGAGGCTAATACTAGAGGGCATAGGTTCAAGGTGAGAGGGGAAAGAGATAAAAGGGACCAGAGGGGCAACGTTTTCATGCAGAGGGTGTTGCATGTATGGAATGAACTGCCAGAAGAAGTGGTGGAGGCTGGCACAATTACAACATTTAAAAGGCATCTGGATGGGTATCTGATTAGGAAGGGTTTAGAGAGAAATGGGCCAAATGCTGGAAAATTGGACTAGATTAGTTTAGGATATCTGGTCAGCATGGATGAGTTGGACCGAAGGGTCTGTTTCTGTGCTGTACATCTTTATGACTATGACATGAATATAGGAGGTTTCAACAGTAGGTTTGCAGATGACTTAAAAATTTGTGATGTAGTGAGTGGTGAGGAGGAAAGCCTTGGACTGCAGGAAGATAGTCAGATTTGCTGGTGAGATGAGTTAAACAATGACAAATGGAATTTAATCTTGAAAAGTGTGAGATGATGAATTTTAGGAGAATTAACAAGGCATGGGTGTTACCGTTGAATGATAGGACTCTAGGAAGTACAAAGGGTTAGAAGGACCTTAGTGTGTATGTCCATAGATCATTGAAAGCATCAGAATAGGGCAATAGGTTGTTAAAAAGGCACTTGGAGGACTTGTCTTTATTAGTCAGGGAATTGAATACAAGAGCAAGGAATTTATGATGGACCTGTAGAAGTTGTCAGGTAGGTCTCAGCTTAAGTACTGGACTACAGATACTACAGGTGAGATACACCAGGATGTTGCCTGAGCTGGAGTGTTTTCACGAAGAGAGACTAGATAGTTTGCAAGCAGTTGTGTTTTGTGGCTTCACCAGGTTGACAGCTAATTTTTAGGTGTGCATGGTTCTGTTCCCAGCATGCACTTTACATTGAACCAGGGTTGATCCCCTGGTTTGATGTTAATAGTGTGGGAGATATGCCAGACTATGAGATTGTAGATTGTGCTGGGAGGACTCCCAGAGCAACTTCCTCCTGACTATACACCATTGTGCCACCACTGCTGCTGGGTCACTCTTGCTGGTGAGACAATATATACAGGGTGATGATGGTGTAGCGTAGGACACTGTGTGTAAGGTATGATTCTGTGTGTATGACAATGGCAGGCGATAGCTGACTAATCTGTGAGCCAACTCTCTCAACTTTGGCATTAGCCCCAGATGTTGCTGAGGAGAACTTGGCAGCGTCAATGGAGCTGAGTCTGCTTTGGTTGTTTTCAGTGACTTGGTAGATGCCAGGTATTCTATCTGGTTTCATTCCTTCTTTTGAGACTCTTTAGCAGTTGATATAACTTAATGGTTTGCTAGGCCATTTGAGAGTGCAGTTAAGAATCAACCACATTGATGTGGTCTAGAGTCATATGTAGGCCAGACCGGATGAAGATAACGGTTTCCTTCCCTAAAGGACATTAGTGAGCCAGATAGGTTTCTACGAAAATTGACAATGGTTTCATGGTCATCATTAGACTTCTGATGATGTATACTGAGTTCAAAGTCCACCCAATGCTGTGGGCCAAGTGAAATTTGGATTGCTAAATCATTACCTGGATCTCTGGATAATTAGTCCAGTGATAGTAGCACAATGCCATCACCTCTCTTTTGTTTTCAAATATAGTGGTTGATTGTGATCTGGATTGTGCTGCTTAGGATTGTATTGATGGTAAATTCAGTTGTGACATTCCAAAACAAATTGACTAAAGAGCTGAAGGGAGCCCTAGGGCTATGGTGAAAGCGTGGGGTAATTGGGAGAAACTAATTTTGCTTCCATCTGTACTCAACCATTTTATAAATGCAGTTCTTTCCCCTCTAGATATATCTTCAGCTGGGAAAAGGAAACGACGTTCTGGTTCAGATCAATCACTTGAGACTATCGACTGCTCTCCTCCGGAATATATCTTGCCAGGATCTAAAGATCGGCCCCTGTCATTCCTACAGCCACTAACTGCGGATAGCAAGGTGTGTTACAAATCCAATGGAGTGAAGTGATATTTGTGTATTAAAACAGAATCAGCTGCTCTGTTCAGAAATGTTTTGCTGCATTTGTTTCCAGAAAGATGCATCGTTCAGAAATTACTATTACAATGCAGTTGGGTATGATCAGAAGTCAATGTGATATTTCAGAAACAAGCTAGTGTAATGTTCATGGAATGCTCTAAACATTGTTGTAGTTGTAGTCTTGCTGTATTACAGATTTAGCCAACTTTACCTTATTTCCATCTTTCCTGATTCTGCTTTCATTTGAAAAATAAAGATGATTGCAGTGTTTGTATCCTAGCACAGAATTCTTTAACTCAAGTAAGTAGAGATTCTGATTTGAGTATGTATTGTCACTGGTTGGTTCTTCCTCTGGATTCAGTGGGGAGGTGGATTTTGCTAATTGATACTATCTCTGTAGTCCTTGCAGTGTTTGAAGTGTCTGATGGTGAGTGGGTGGAATCCACCTCCTGGTAACCGTAAGCTGCGGGGGGATCTGATGTATTTTAACGTCATCACCATGGAGGATCGTCATGTCAGCATCACTGCATCCACACGTGGATTCTACATCAACCAGTGAGTGCAAGCCCTGTGCTTGGTACCGCTAATAGATGTGTTCATGTGGAAAATCTTGCAATGTCTTTTAAAACAAATGAGGTAAAATTGGACCTGTAGAGATTTCAGATGATCCAATTATTAAAATGTTATCAAATGCAAAATTATTAAATTCAGTTGTTGGGGGTTAAATTATGAAACTGATGGACTGAATTCAGAGATAATATCACTGCTGGGGAGAGCTGTACAAAAGCAGCATGCAATCATGGAGCTTGCTGTCTGGTCATGTAATGCAAGGTGGATATTATGTAATTCCTAATTTATTTCAGCTGAAGAACTGCTTATCCCAAATTAATGGTTGGGTGAAATTTTACATCTCCTGCTCTCAGGAGGCTGGATGATGGGCAGGGGCTTGTAGAGTGCAACACTTGACCAGCCTGCCATTTACCCACCTGCCCCTCACCTGTCTGCCATCTGATGGGAGAAAATTACAGTGTCGCCAGTCCATTGGGCCTCTTGAAACCTATAAGTGGCAGATTAATGGCCAGAAGGGCCTCATCTCACCTCTGCCACTGTTTTAGCCATAAACAAGGGAATCCCCAGACCAGTACACATCTTGGCAGCGTGAGCTCATGTGTCAGGCAAGTGGAGGTGAGGATTTTCCTGTTTGGGGGCCCTGGTGCTCATCACAGACGTCCAACTTCCACCCACCCCACACCTCCCAATGTCATATCCCTCTTTAATACCTCCTTAATGACCTCTCAAAACCCAGCCCCAAGTTTGTTACACACTGACTTTTCCTCTGTCCAGCCTCCAATAGTTCCTCTACTTTGGAGACTAGTTGCACAAACTTGGTACCATTAAGAATACAAGGCTGCTAACGATAGAAGATTTAGCCTTAGTGATTAAATGCTCCATTGAACATTGATAGCTGTGGGACTATCTCTGCTGAGCCTTGGAATCATGTTGGGATAGCCCTGATACAAAAACATTTTGCCTATAGCATTTCTTGTATGAACTTGTAGTCTACTATTCCTCTGTGTGAATTGTCAATCATCTTTGGTGTCAGTGACATTGGAATAAGTATAAGTATCCTAATTAAGGATTAGATTCATTTAGCTTCCTTTTAATCTTCACTCTCTTTCTCGTCTTTCCTGCCTTGATCTACAAAGTGTATTCTTCTTACATTAGAGCAGCTAACTGTCCCTGTGTGACTGCCTCAATTTTAGTGAGAAATGATGCTAACTTATATATGGCTTATAGTTTTGTGTCTTGGGGTCACAGTCAAGCAGCCCAGCATCACGTTATACTGATCCTTGACAGGCTATTGAGAGGGGATACTTCTATCTGAATAATTTGGATGAACTTTGGACTATGTTTCAGAGATGAAGTATAGAGTGCTCTGCATGGCAGAAGCCACTCAATGTTTGTGTTGGTGATGATGCTTTCCCAGAGCAAATCAAAACAATTCCCATTGTCTTATTTGCTTTGCAAACTCTACTTAGAGAATTTATCCATTTTCTCTAGCTGTGTCACACAGTGCTCCTCTGTGTTGATGCCTGTTTTGTTTTAAGCTCTCATTCCAATGCATTCAGCCACCTCCAGCTAAGCACAGGTACCATATATTGTTCCCAGGTTCTGATGGCATTGGGCGTAATTGAAATGATCCTGATGGAACTGACGGTGGTGGGAGGAGAAATGTACTGATTAGGTGTTTTGTAGGAAACAAATATCTTCATTACCATATCATTTTCCTTTCCACCATCAACTAATAGACAGTAGAAACAATTGACTTGGCGGTCCATTCAAATGTCTAATTGCTGTTGTAATGATCTTAAGTTCCTGCTTCCCAAAATAGTCAAGATAAACCTGTCAAAATGTGTTAAACTGCAAGTCAGCAAGATTCATTTATTTCTCCTCTGATTTCATCTCCTGCGTCCAGTGCAATGGTAGCCACCAGTGAAGGCACTGACTGAACTAATAGCTGCATGATGCTCATGTGTTTTAATTATCCTCCCAATGTGCATTTTCCTGATGCCACAATGTTTTGAGAATGTGGTGATTCACATCATGATAGTTGGCACAGGCTGATATTTTGACATAATTTTGTAAACATGCAAAGCGTTGGCTCCTCAGTGTGTGAACATTCCCCGTGGTGCATCTTGCTGTTGGTTGAGAACCTTGGCATGATTTGCAAGGTAAATTCAGGAATGCAGTCTTTTTAAACAATTCTCTCAGGATCTGACATGGACCGTAAGAAATAGGAACAAGAATAGGCCATACAGCCCCTTGAGCCTGCTCCATGAAGTACGTGTAATACAAAAGGCCTTTTTATTCAAGTTTTCACAAATTAGGCTCTTGAGTCCGATACTCTGGTTGTAACACGAAGCCACTAAGTATTTCCAGATGGTTAAAAAGCATAAAACTCATTACAACTTTATCAGACATAGATAAGAACAGACCTTTCTTGTGCACCAGAGTGGCATAATAGGAAAAAAGAACCAACTGGGTTTTTGACACTAAAAATAAAGTACTGATAGCTGGTTGCTTAGATACTGTTGGTGTGCAGCAAATACCTGAAAGCAGAATGTAGAGGCCAGAAATTGAAATCTTCAGTAGCGGTTACCTGGGTGTGTCCAGCCATTCTCTGCAGCTGCACACTAAGTAGGGCTTGTTGGGTCTTGTATTCTGTCTCACTCTCAATTAGTTTTCATGTTTGGTGTCGTGTGTTTTGTTTAACTCCTTTCTTGCAAAAAGTGCTGATTCTTTGTTGAGGATGTAGTTTCACAGTCATGCAAAACCATCAACCTGAAAAATTATCTGTTTCTTCCTCCACAGATGCTCCCAAACTGCTAAGTATTTCCAGCATCTTTGTTTTTATCAACACTCAGCACCTTTTTTTAACCCACATGTATTGTATGTATATCTCATGAACAGCTAAACCAGCAGGCTCGACCAACCAGAGCAGTGATCAACTCTTATCCCTATATGGGTGCTTGTAAGTGTATCTTTTAATGGGAATCGCTGGATTTTGGCCAAGAACAGCAACCCGTTGGTGTGTCTGCTCTAAGAGCAACCGAAGAGCCCATAACAGAGTGTGGTCCACCACTATTCTGATATTTCAGCTGATTAACCTAATTTTACAGCTAACATATTGCCTAGCCAGTGCATAGCACAAATCCTCATAGTACAGTTTGTAGTTGATCCCACTGGATTGGGGGTGGGGTGGGGGGTGGTTCCCACAACATGTGCCATTCTTTAGACTTCTTTCTGCACCATTCAGCTCAAATGATATTTGTGGAGTAACTTGCCAGAAGTGTGAGCTGACAGTGGGTGTGAGGGCAGCATAGCATTTGTGATTTTAGTGCTTCTTTAGAACATTGCAGCAGGCCCAGCACAGAAATTTTAGCAAGGGAGCAAGATGGTTTATTGAAATGGCAAGCAACTGGGAGGACAGGGTCATTCCTGTGGACAAAGCAGAGGTATTCCATAAAGTGGTCTAGTCTTCATTTGATCTCAACAACGTAAAGGACACTGCACTGTGAGCAGCAAATGCTGCAGACTGGATTGAAAGAAGCACAGGTGAAATGTTGTTCACCCAGAAGTTGTGTTTGGGGTCTTGGTCGTTGAGGAAGGATGGGTGTTTTCCTCATGTTGCCTTTGCTTCTTTTGTCAATAAACTTAAGCCTGTTTGTTTGGATAGTGGTCCTTCAACCATTGGAAACGGTTTCTCTGTGTTTACTCTCACTAAACCCATCATGATTTTAAAAACTTCTATCAAATCTTCTCTAAGCTTTCCCTGTTCTGAGTAGAACAGTCCCAGCTCCTTGAGTTTGTCCACATAACTAACCCCTCATCCCTAAAACTTTGTCAATAAATTTATTCTCATAAATTTCTCCAAAGCCTTCATGACATTCCTAAATCATGGTGCTCAGAAATAACAAAATTCCAGCTGAAGTTGAACCAATGTTATAAACAGGTCTAGCATAACGTATTTATTGGTGACTGTACTCTATGCCTTCCTTTACAAGGAATCCCATATGCATTATTAACTGTGTCATCTTCAAAGATTTGTGCACAAGCAGAAGCGTAACAGTCACTTGGATCTCATTGGAGAAAATTCTAAAGGAGTGAATTAATATGCACTTGGAAAGGCATGAGTTAATTAGGGATAGTCAGCATGGTTTTATCAGAGGGAGGTCATACCTGACAAATTTGTTAGAAGTTTTAGAAAATGTGATCAGGTGTGTGGATGAGGGAAATTCAGTTGATGCAGTTTATATGGATTTTAGCACAGCTTTTGACGAGGTCCCACATGGGAGACTGATTGAGAAAGTTCAAGCACATGAAGTTGAGGGAGACTTGGTGAGACGGATCAGAACCTGGCTTAGTTGTAGGACACAAAAGGTTGTGGTAGAAGGCTTTTTGAGTGACTGGAGGTTGGTGTCCAGCAGTGTCCCACAAGGATCAGTACTGGGACTCTTGCTGTTTATTATATACATAAATGACATAGATGAAAATGTGGGGAGAATGTTAAGAAAATTTGCAGATGACACCAAGACTGGTAAAATGGTTAATAGCGAAGAAGATGGTTGTAGGTTATAGAAAGATATAGATGGATTGGTTAGATGGACAGACCAGTGACAAATGGTATTTAACCCTGATAAGTATTTAATGAATGGCAGGACACTGGGTGGCTTAGAGGAACAGAGGGATCTTGGGGTAATTATTCACAGATCCCTGAAGTTGGCAGAGCATGTGAATAAGATAGTTAAGAATGTATATGGGATACTTGCTTTCATCAGTCGTGACATAAAGTATAAGATCAAGAGGGCAAAGTTACAGTTATATAGAGCATTGGTCAGGCCACAGTTCCAGTACTGTGTGCAGTTCTGGTCCCCTGACAACAGGAAGGATGTGATAGCACTAGAGGAGGTACAGAGGAGGTTTACCAGGATGTTGTCTGAGATGGACAAATTGAGCTATAAGGAGAGACTAGATAGGCTTTGATTGTTTTCTTTAGAGCAGAGAAGACTGAGAGGGGACGTGATTGAGGGATATAAGATTATGAGGGGTATGATGAAAGTGAATAGAGAGCAGCTGTTCCCCTTGATTGAGAGCCAACTATGAGAGGGCATAGTTTTAGAGTAAGGGGAAGGAGATTCAGAAGCGATTTGGGGAGAAAAACTTTTTCACTTAGCGGATGGTGGGAATCTGCAATGCACTGCCTGGGAAAGTAGTGGAGGCTGGAAACCTGATAAACTTTAAAAAGTATTCTGATGAGTACTTCAAATATCATAACATTCAAGGATATGGGACAAGGGCAGGAAATTGGGATTAGCGCACTTTTAGTGGTAATTATGTCAGTGCAGACTTGATGGGTTGAAAGGCCTTTTTGTGCCATATGAATCTATGGATCTTTCTGTCTCTGTCTTTCCCTCTCTCTCTTTTTCTCCTTTTTTTCTCTCTCCCTCAACCATTGTGCCATTTAACATGCATCACTCCCTGTTCACTGTTCTTAATAAAATTCATCATTTAATGTTTCTCAGTTCACCTGCCATGTGACATAGATTCTTCAAGCTTTCTGTATCTTGAAATCTATGAATATCTTCCTCATTGTTTGCTACACTTGATTCTACACTCAGCTATGTGGTTCAGTCTAAATTACCCTCAGAAATGGTCTAGTGAGCCACTCAGTTGTATTAAACGTTCATGAAATAGTATAATAGGAAAGAAACCAGTTAGTCCACATAGTGTTTTTCTTTAATTCGTTCATAGGATGTGAACTGGCTAGGCCAGCATTTATTGTCCATCCCTAATTTCTAAGAGGGCAATTTGAGAAAGCAATATTTTTCAGTGCAGTTTAGGGAAGATGTTTCTAGAGAAGAAGAGTTTAGTTTGAGTGACTTCCAGACCAGGAGTATTTAGTTAGAAATCTGCAGAGTATTAGGAGCTGTGAAAGTATGAGCTCTCAGTTTTATGAATATTCATCTCAGAAGACCCAACAGTTCACAACACACAACCTGACGAGAATCAGGTAAGTTGAATTTAATGTTTTGACAGAGAGGTATAAATTCTCTGGATTTAAGTCACTGTAAAGTGAAGGTGTTGCTACACGGTTTGAAACTTTGTTTGCTGGGTGTTTTAACAATTTTCCATTTGTGCTCTATGTCAAGATATTGCACTAACAATACCAAACATTTTTACTTTCTATAGCCCTGCAATAAAAGCTGTTTCTAACGTATTGTATTCTAAATTAGGTCAACTGCAGATGTATTTAATCCAAAACCAGGCAGTCCTAGCCTGCTATGTCATTCACTGTTGGATCTTCTGAATCAAATTAGCCCAATATTCAAGAAGAATTTTGCGATATTGCAGAAGAAAAGGTATGGAATGTGAAGAGGATCATCCACATTAGACAGATCCTTTTATTTATTTCTAACATTCAGAAACTCAGTTTTCATGATTGCACCTCCAATTCCATGCATCATGAAAGCAACCAACCCTTCTCATAAAGTGCTGGAATTATGTAACTGAGTTGGTACTTGAGACTGGATTTAATTTGCCTACTTACCACTTCTGGGAAGTATCTACCTTGCACATAGTTCCTCTCTAAAGTGATGGAGCCAAGTTCATTGACTCTATTAAATGTAGGTTTAAATTTGAAATAAAGCTTTCTTTCATCAAGAACAAGCAACTGTGTTCCCCATCCCTGATCTGATTAGATAATTATGATCTTTCTTTTTTCATAAAAGAACCCACAATCATTATTTTATTTCACAAAATTAACGCACATCAAAATGGCAATGATCCCTTTATCCCTGCATAAATAGATATTAAATCTCTGCCTGATATTAAAGTTACTCCAGTGATCTTTTATGTAACTCTTCCACTTGGCTTACTTTTATTTTGGTGACCTTAACGAGTGTGATTACCAGTTAATTTAAAATTGGAGAGTCATTGAGCTTTGAATTTACTGATCCCAGCAAAGTCCTGTCCTTTTGGATTTGTAATAGTTTTTCAAGGAAGACATTTTTTTAGGCTTCATGGTAACGTTTAGTAGCAGTCAAGAGTAATTTTCCTTGATCCTTTCAGAAATTGCTAGACGTTGTATTGACTTGATTTTGGGTTTATGCCAATGGTTTTTTCTAATCATGCTCCAATTAAATTCATTCTGGACTGTATCTAAATATCGGTTGCGCCGTCATATTTTAGACGTTTTGTGCGATATAGTTAGTATTCTGGTCATGCAACAGCTTTAGTGATTTTTTGAGATTTTAATTCTCTGTTTTCCAGGGTGAATTGCCATCCATTGGAGAGGGTTGCCACACCATTCCAAAGATACAGTTGGACCATCCCACACAAACAGCACACCATTGATTGTGTGAGGGCTGAGGATGCATATACTTCCCGTCTAGGGTTTGAGGAACATATTACTGGGCAGGTGAGAAATGGGTGGTAATGTTCTGGTCTAGAGGTCTTTGTCAGGCACTAGAGATGAGGGTAGGTGACACAGAGGTGTCTGGAAAATCTGTTTGGAGAAAATGAGTTATAAATTTTATTTGTTATTTGCTGCCAAACAGCAATTGTGCATTTATTTTTTTCTCCTCCTCCCCTGAAACTGCTGGATCATTGAGCGCAGTTACTCAAGTGTCACCTATCCTGTTGTATCCACCAGCCTATCTGAATGTGCCACGATCACAGCTAGTACTTGTACTTGCCCAATGCTCGCAGTTTGCAGTGCCAGTCACTATCCAGCAAGAGTGTTGCCCAGAATCATTTACTGTGGTAATGCTGCAGCAATATCCTGTTGGGATCAACTAACTCTGCACAAAATGTTGGAAGGTTAAAAAGGATGAATAAAGATTATCTATGTAGATAACTATGTGAAATTGTTCACTGTTTACCCATTCAACTGTACCAGGTCTAGAGAGAGAGACTAAAAATTTCAAGAAATGATTCATCTTGAGCTGACTCCCTAACACAACTATGGAAGTTCCCAAGAGATTGTGGTAGCTCATGACTCCTCAAAACAGCAACCTGTTAGCAATTTTCTCTCTATAATCGACCATGTCCTGTTTTCTCAGAATATTTAAAAGAACTCAACCTTGTGTTTAGCACTTTGTTTTAGATGACAGTGACATTCTGCCACAATAAATACTTCCTGAAGCCTATCTTGTTTCTTTGCCCTTGGATCTTTTATGCACCATCCTTCATTCTGCTGTCCCTGCTATCTCCAAAAACTTACCTTAATGGTTTGAACCTAATCTCTTCATGAAAAAGAAATTACACCCATCTCTCGACCTTCATTTCTCCCTAGTAAATAATTTGAACTCTTCAAGACCATCTTCAGAAGATTTTAATTTTGGTTGGCATTCTATGAGCCTTTCCTTGATATCTTGCATCTTATGGACGTTGCAAAATTGGACATACTGCTCAAACATGTGGATATCCTCGTGTCAAATATTGCTTTGTTTTGTATTCATTCAACCTGGAATCACTATTAGTCTGTATGAGTAAACAGTACATTTACTCATTGAGCTTTGGGATACCAAAGATTTGACAATTCACTTCAAAACATTTTTAATAAGTGTTTTAATAACTCAATAAATCAAAACATTACATTTTGAGTAGTACCTTTATGATTTGTAAAAATTGGATGATTTGCTGCCTCTTGTTTCAATAAAGCCCCGGGACTGGAATGAAGAGTTGCAGATGGCACGGGAGATGCCCTGTCAAGATATGATGCAGCGGATATTGAGGAAGCAGACCATGTTTAAGGTGAGGTATACAAACTTCTGTTCTCACGAGCTTTTCACAGCAAGTCCTCACAAAGTTAATACTGTGAGAGCAGCATCAGGTGAATCTTATCCAAAGGGAGAGATTTATCCTCTGTTTCTTCAATGAAACATTAGGGCTTCATTGGCTTCCACAGTAATGGGGCTAAGAATAGGAGCCTCAGTGTGTGATGAAAGAGTTGCTTGCTGGTGGTCGATTTGAAGAATCTTTCGGAATTTGATGGGAATTAAATACAAATCAACTGGGGCAGTGCGATTATTAGATTGCGAGAGGGTTGAAGTCAGTAACTGTACTTCTGACGACCAAAAATTTGTGTTGGGACTAATGTGTAGTGGAGTTCTGTGAAGCCATCCTACTCTTTCAGTGACAAATACATACACCCATACTTGTTTGTATTACTTTCTGCTGTACTTTCACCTTAAGTACGTGTGCCGCTATTTAAAGTGCACAGTTTTCAAGGGCCTGTTCATTGAAGTGCAAGTGCAAGTACCTCAAGGATCTGTTTTGAGGCCACTGCTGTTTGTCATTTTTATAAATGACCTGGATGAGGGCGTAGAAGGATGGGTTAGTAAATTTGCGGATGACACCAAAGTTGGTGGAGTTGTGGATAGTGCGGAAGGATGTTGCAGGTTACAGAGGGACATAGATAAGCTGCAGAGCTGGGCTGAGAGGTGGCAAATGGAGTTTAATGTGGAAAAGTGTGAGGTGATTCGCTTTGGAAGGAGTAACAGGAATACAGAGTACTGGGCTAATGGTAAGATTCTTGGTAGTGTGGATGAGCGGAAAGATCTCGGTGTCCATGTGCATAGATCACTGAAAGTTGCCACCCAGGTTGATAGCGTTGTTAAGAAGGCGTACAGTATGTTAGGTTTTATTGGTAGAGGGATTGAGTTTCGGAGCCATGAGGTCATGTTGCAGCTGTACAAAACTCCGGTGCGGCCGCACTTGGAGTATTGCATTCAGTTCTGGTCACCGCATTATAGGAAGGATGTGGAAGCATTGGAAAGGATGCAGAGGAGATTTACCAGGATGTTGCCTGGTATGGAGGGAAGGTCTTAGGAGGAAAGGCTGAGGGTCTTGAGGCTGTTTTCGTTAGAGAGAAGAAGGTTAAGAGGTGACTTGATAGAGACATACAAGATGATCAGAGGATTAGATAGGGTGGACAGTGGGAGCCTTTTTCCTCGGATGGTGATGGCTAGCACGAGGGGACATAGGTTTAAATTGAGGGGTGATAGATATAGGACAGATGTCAGAGATAGGTTCTTTACTCAGAGAGTAGTAAGGGCGTGGAATGCCCTGCCTGCAAAAATAGTAGACTCACCCACTTTAAGGGCATTTAAATGGTCATTGGATAAACATATGGATGATAATGGAACAGTTTAGGTTAGATGGGCTTCAGATTGGTTTCACAGGTCGGCACAACATCGAGGGCCGAAGGGCCTGTACTGCGCTGTAATGTTCTATGTTCTGTGTTCTAAGATTAAGGGGAACTGGCTGAGGATTGCTTATGGGGATTTGTGGCCATAACATGGAGTTCATTGCAGATACTGGAAAAAAGTGTTTTATTCTTCACTTCTCAAAGTCTTCTCATAAATTCTGCATTACTTTTAAATCACACTCATCTGTAGACCATTACTGAACTCTGATTTGAAGGTTGCACAGTGGATTTCTGATTGAGAATACTACTTTACATGACTGTATCCTGGAAAGGAGAAAGGCGAGAGTGAAGTCAGATTAATCCAGTTGCACAGAGGAGAACCCGTCCATCCAGTGTGCTGTGTAGGCTGAGATATGCATGGCTGTGCCTCTAAGGATGGAGGTTACCTTTCTCATCAAGCACCCAAGTCCTGAGATAAATGCAGGACAGGCTATGTGTCATGGGACCAAGATTCTGGTAACCCATGGTCAATGGAGGAACAGATCTCATGAGATCAGAATGATATATATTCCCGAGAAAGGATACAAAATATTCTAGCTGTATAGTCCATTAAGAGCTGCAGACCTATATTCGGAATCTCCATGTTGAATTGATTGACTTGTTAGGATCTGTAATCCTCTGGGGAAGCTTTGCAGTTTTTTCTTTGGCTGTCTTTGTTGAACTTTGTTGAATCCCTTTTCCATTTTGGAGCAAAGGAGAGAAGTTCTAGACAGTTGCTTCACATCTTGAAGACTGCACAGAACTTTTGTTTCTGTCTACTAAAACCCTTCTCTTCATGGTAGAAATCATCATACATTTGCTCTGCAGTTAGTGGCTAACATGTCCTGCCCTTTCACTATAACTATAACTACCTCTACCTCTCCCAATTTGTCAATTTTCTCAGTGTTGTTTGTATTTCTTGAGTTGCTCTGGGCTGCTGAATATAAGGGAAATGATGAATGATGGAGTGGGTGAGTGTATGACTGCAAAACAATGAACAGAAGAAATTGAAAGGACATGTTCTTCTCTGATGTATCTTTGCAGTTTCCAAAGGGGGAGAAAGTACAGTTAACTTTATTGTGCTTGAGCAGCATTATGCATTTTTTCCATATAAGAAACTCAGAAAAACACAGTATAATTATCCAAAATGTGTACGTCATTACAAATGCACAATGTATCTGTTCCATTCCCATTCCTCAACTGTCCGGTAAGAGTTGGAATCAGTTCTAGCAATTACAGTTGAGTGTTTGGTGTTGGCACATTTTTCCCAGCACTCTGACCCTCCCAGCAATAATTAACTAATTCAATGATATAGAACATAGAATATAGAACAGTACAGCACAGTAAAGGCCTTTCGGCCCACGATGTTGTGCTGACCTATTATCCTACTAAGATCAATCTACCCTGCATACCCTACATTTCACTGTCCTCCATGTGCCTGTCCAAGAGTCGCTTAAAAGTCTCTAAAGTATCTGACTCCACGACCACTGCCAGCAGCGCATTCCACACGCCCACCACTCTCTGTGTGAAGAACCTACCTCTGACATCTCCCCTATACTTTCCTCCAATCACCTTAAAATTATGCCCCCTCGTAATAGTCATTTCCACCCTGGGAAAAAGTCTCTGACTATCCACTCTATCTATGCCTCTCATCATCTTGTACATCTTGTACACTTCTATCAAGTCACCTCTCATCCTTCTTGATGTTAAGACACATCTCTGGAACAGGGGGAACTTGTGCAATGTCTGCTTCTGCAGGAGGAATACATGTAAATTACTTGCTACAATTCACAGATCTTCCATCAATCATGCAGAAACATGAGTGGCTGATAGGAAGGATAGGTTCAGTAGATCAATGATTTAAGATGTGAGATTTCTGTACACTGGCATACTTTTCAGGATGTGAGTCACAGTATGACCACTGCCATATAATTTTGCACCTGGAGAATGAGTATAATGCTGTTTTGGTAGTCCCAAATGAAATGATGATGTCTCTAGGATGTAGCCACATGTTTCTGTACAATCCCATTATTGGCCCTGTTGTCCATCTAAAATTACTTTTAACTTTGCTAAGTCATTGAGCTCACACAACCCTTTCCCTGGCAGGGAATGTGTGCATACATGTGTATGGAGGTGTGGTGTGGGGAGAGAGAGAAGTGCGATATTATGTGAGCCCTTTGGGTTATGAAATCCTACGCATAACCATCTGCTTTCAAATGGTCCGTCTTGCTGAATAGTTTCTTCATAGGCACTTTAACATTGCCATCCTCTCTTTTAATGGCTGTGGTTGGCTGTGCTTTCACATCAGCATCAGGAAAATTAGATACTTCCCTTTTCCTTTCCTTCGCTCCAGATATTTTGGGTTCCCTCTTACAAAAGCCTGCTCTGTCCTTCAAATACACATAGCCCTTTTCGTTCAAGATATTCTGACTTTTCACTTGCCCGCTTACCAAACATTTTAGGCTGTCTCTAATGTATCCTCTCACCAATATTATTTAAACTACCGCCTAGGAAACATTCAATGGGGTCAGCCACCACTGAGCAGCCTGCCTAAAACCCATTTGCTCACATTTTCACTGCCACATTAGAAATCTGGGAAGTTCTGATAGCTTTTCCTGAACTAGTATCTGGACTGTGTGCAAAAACAGTTGGCTTTTAGTGCATTAAAGACTATCCTTCAGTCAGACACACCCTGAAACAGAGTAACCAATTAAGACGCCGTTTTTGTTTCTGACTAGGTAAACAGTGACTTTGTTGCAGCCGCCACCCGTGGTGCAATGGCAGTTGTCGATGGGAACATCATGGCCATCAACCCAGGAGACTATACCAAAATGCAGATGTTCATCTGGAACAACATTTTCTTCAGCTTCGGATTTGACATCCGGGACAACTACAAAGAATCTGGTGGGGATCATGCTGCTTATGTTGCATCCAGCAATGATTTGAAAGGGATCCAAGCTTATAGTAACTTGGATGTGGCTGGTCTGCATGTACTAGGGACTGTAATAGTGGATTACCGGGGCTATCGGATAATTGCACAGTCCATTATCCCTGGAATTCTGGAACAGGAGCAAGATCAGAACGTGGTTTATGGATTGGTAGATTTTGGGAAGACTGTTATTTCTAATCATGAGTACATCAACATATTGCTTCAAACCTCCAGACCCCTTCGGATTCAGAAGCACCTCGTCCTGAATAATTTAGAACAGCCCATCCTCCTGTGCTCTTCTGTGGATTGCAAAGGAATTGTGGGCAATGATGGGAGACGTTACATTCTGGATCTTTTCCGCACATTCCCCTCAGATCTGAACTTCCTGCCAATGATTGGTGAAGAGTTGCATGAGGAATGTCAAAGATTAGGATACCCAAAGGAATATCGGCATAAGTTGTGCTGTCTACGGCCGGAGCTAGTGGAGAATTTCGTCCAACATAAGTAATGTTTTATCTGATGTAATTTGTAGTGATGTATAGAAGATTATAGAATATTTCAGCACAGAATCAGGTCTTTAAGTCAATTCAGTTTGTTTTGGTGTGTTCTCTGCATAAACCACATATCCTACTCCCATTCTGTTCCATCCCTTGCAATATATTTGAAATATTTTTCAATGATGTGTTTTCTTTTAGTTTACTTACTTATTTGCACTTAACAATGAGCTTTTCTGATCTTTCATTTTAAACTTGACCGTTTAATACTATTTTACATTTTCCATGTTGAACTGCCACCTTCACACAAATCTATTAGTGTGTTCCTGCAATCTTTCATAGTCCTCGAACCATTTTGTTGTAATCAATGCTGGTCAATGTTCAATTTACTGTACCTATGAGTCATAGTCAAAATTATTTAGGCACAGATAATATGAAAAAAAGGCCAAATTGAAGCCCGGTGAAACATCTCCTTCCAGCTTGAGAATCTTTCTTTCATCCCTACCCTTTACTTTCTATGCTCCATCTCACCAATTCGAGGCCACTTGCTCCTCATTTCTGTGTAACGTTATCTTTGCCATAATGAGAACTTTCGAATAGGAGTGGGCCTTTCAGTCTTTCACGTCTCGCCTGCTATTCAAGAGGACAGTAACTGATCTGTATCTTAGCTCTATCTACCTGACTTGGTTTCATAAACTCTTATACCTTTGCCAAACAATAATCTATCAACTTCAGTTTGTAAATTTTTAAATGACATGGTAATAATCACCCTTTTTGGAGGGGAATGGCTCTCATATGTTTTCTTATCAATTTTTTTTAAGAATTCTTGCTATTTATAGCCATTCTATTTCAAAAATCTAATCTCCTATTTTTTCTGTAAATGTCTTGTACTCTGTGGAGGACAATGTCTGACTGACCTCAATGGCATTAGCTGACCTGGTGTGCAGGGTCACAAATGACTGTTTTACCTCTGTCTATAACAAATGCTGGGGGATGCATTGTTGTATAACAACAAAAATCTGATTCACTAATGTCCTTTAGGGAAGGAAATCTGTCATCCTTACCTGATCTGACCTACACATGGCTCCAGACTTAGAACAATGTGCCCTCTGAAATGGCCGAGTGAGCCATTCAATTCAAAGGGAAAATAGGGATAGATAATAAATATTGGCCTAACCAGAGATGCCCACAACCCACGAATAAATAAAAGAAAACTATTGCACACTGATCTAGTGGAACAAAAGTTAAAATAACTCCAAAAGGACATCACAAAGCCTTAAAAAAATTGCCGCATTATCATTTCATTGCGCATAAACATATCTTTTTGCTTTAAGTTTTCTCCTTGTGGCATGTACTGTACTGCTGTCAATTCTGTGGTGTAAGAAGCTCTGCTAAATATGTAAACCTTTAACGGTGTGTCTTTTCCTTTTTCCTGCTCTTTGTTTCTCCCCTGTATCATCCACATGGGAAAGTTCCTGTCCTATTCCAGTCATTGACTTTATACCTGAAATTAAAAACTGAATATGATGAACCAGTTTAGTCTGGAAAGATCATTATGTGGGCGCAACACAAATGTGATGTTTGGATGATGCTGCATATTGGAACATATGTTCTGTATTGTTGTAATCGTCTTTAAGTAAACCTGAGGGCAGATACTGGATAAAGTTGTAGTGAGATTAATCTTCCCCAAATTTAGATTGGATTGAGTAGATGTAAGTAAGCATAGACTGGGAGCACAGACTTGGAAGATGTGATTTAAAATTTACAATCCTCTTTGAAATCTGTTTTCTATTATATTTTTAATTGCATTTATTTAAACTATCATGAGGTACAAATATATAAATATTGTATATGGTACAGGATAATGATGGGTTTTTACCTTACCATTGTTGAGAGGAAGATCTCCTCTTCCACATAGTTTGAGCTGTGTCCTTCAACCAACGGTTTCTTTGATTAATCAGGTAACCTGCTCCAAGACCTCTGCTTAAACCATTAGGTATCTTGTATATACCAGGAGATATGCCCTCTAGTGCACAGCATTCATCCTTCACTTGACAATTTCTACTGGTGCAGGTAAAAACAGATGTGCCATGTGAAGATATATTTGTGTGACCTGTTGCTGCGCAGTGCATTGCTTTGCAACTCCAGTGCGCCAAACTTATACATTTGAAATCCTAACAGGACATTTTGTTTCTTGAACATACAATAAGCAAGCCCATGTTCTGTATTATTGATGGTGCTGCTGCTGCTAACCACCAACTTACGATCTCTGCTCGTGTTACGTTCAGCTGTTTTTCATACTTTAGGCACACGCAGTTTACAAAACTCTTGAAGGAGAAAATGCGTAGAAGTGACAGAAGAAAAAGTTTAATGGAGGATGGAGAGAGTGCAACAGAAAATTATGGTAAGGGAGTCCAGTGTTTGCAGAGGTTAGCTGAGGGTGGGGGTGGGGGAGCACATAACATCTGTTCAATGGCTGTGGTAAATGGGAGAGTTGTGTATTAGGTATCAGAGGTTATTTCTAGGTTTGTGAAGAGCAGTACATGCAGTATGTCTTTTTTTAAAAGAAGAAAATGCAGGCGTTGCTAGTTTACGGAAAAATGTGAGCAAATCTGAATTCTTGAATAATGTTTGAACTCTTGGTTTTTCATTCACTACTCATTCAAATTGCAACTGAGTTGAATATCCTGATTGTGTAAAGCACTCTTGTTGATAGGGTGAATTCTATGAAATGACTGAACACTATAATTGTTGATCTTATGTCGGGGTACTCAGCATTGCATTCTTTCTACAAACCCCACATTTTACTTGAGAATAACCTTCTGGAAAGCACTCAGATGTCAGTACAGAAGCGTAGTAATAGTCCAGAATTTTCAAAAATCATCAGCATGCTGAAATAGTAACATTCTTGCCTTCATGTTAGATGTTATGATCTCATGCTCTTCTTCAACATATAACCTAAGCCAGCACATCAATGCAGTAACATTGCAGTGTTGTCATTATTGTTTCTGTCCTTGTCTGCTAAGTCGACAGATACCATTTGAAAATTTCCCCAAATCATGGCCAGTGTGAGTCCCTCGGCAAAAAAACCCAAAGTAGATTAGCTGAAAAATTATCTTATTTGCCGTCTGCAGGATTTTGCTGTGCGCAAATTAGGTGCTGCATTTGTCTACAAATATATGACTGCATCAGAATGCAAGTTCTTTCTTTATTACGGGAAATAACTGAATCTCTACATGTAGCTGGTGCATGTGATACTGTGACCATTTTCCAAATGCAGTCTTCTTTTGAATAGACTACGTCCTAAGGAAAAGCTTATCCCGAAGAGTTTTGCACATAGCACAATTAACCTTTTTTTAAAAATTATTTCTTCCATGGCATGTGAATGTTGTTAGCAAAGACCAGCATTTGTTACATATCCCTAATTTCCCTTAAAGAGAACAGTTAAGAGTGAAGCACATTAATGTGAATGGGCTAGAATGTGTGAGGACAGCAGATTTCCTGGCTAAAATGGCATTAATGAACCAGACAGGTTATTACAGCTATTGAAGAAAATTTCATAGACACTATTACTGGGACTACAGTAAGGGCATGTCTGCCTTAGTCGGTGCCTTATCTAAGTTACATATAATTTTACCTCTAAATTTAATGAATGGACTGGTGCAAGGAGGAAGGTAAAGGCTAGTGTAGTTATTGTTGCACTTGCTTTTGCTTTTGCAATCCTTAGTGTGAACATAAACTGAGAACTGTCGCACAATTTGGAAAGTACTCCAAAACTAGAGGGCATAGCTGTAAGGTGAGAGGGGAAAGATTTATAAGGGACCTAAGGGGCAAATTTTTCACATAGAAGGTGGTGCATGTATGGAATAAATTGCCGGAGGAAGTGGTGGAGGTGGGTACAATTACAACATTTAAAAGGCATTTGGATGGGTATATGAATAGGAAGGGTTTAGAAGGATATGGGACAAATACTGGCAAATGGGACTAGATTTATATAGGATATCTGGTTGACATGGACGTGTTAAACCGAAAGGTCTGTTTTTGTGCTGTACATCTCTATGACGCTATGACTCTACTCGTTAAGCAATGAACAAATCCATTGGCCTTCGCAAGCATTTTTTCCTTGTGTAGCTGTGATGTTGCTGAAAAATCACAGAGTAATGCAAGAGCAGAAAATTCTGGAAAATCTCACTAGGTCTGGCAGCATCTGTGGAGAGAAATCAGAGTTAATATTTTGAGTCTGTCAGAACTATGGGTTCTGAGATAGGGCACTGGACCTGAAATGTTAACTCTGATTCCTCTGCACAGATGCTGCCAGACCTGCTGAGATTTTCCAGCAATTTCTGTTCTCGTTTCTGATTTCCAGCATCCACAGTTCTTTTTGCTTTTTCTTAAATTGAGTAATGCTGTGATGTCTGGTTGAGGAACTTCTCTGCATTAGAAACATTTTTGATGGAGTCTGCAGCTGTGAGTGCCAAGAATTGCTTTGTTGTTCATGTAGTGTTCTACATAAAAAAACAGACACAGCTGTACAATGAAGGCACTATATCTCTTCAAAGGATATTGGCTACTGAATGTACAATGCTATTCCTTTGATTACATTCTGAAGGAACAGGAATATCTGATTAAGCGTTTTATTTACAGGGGTAAATGTGCTTCATTCTGAGGAAGCTCTGATACCTACCTTGTAGCCGCATTTCTCTCAGCCAGTGTTTCTCAATCCAATTAAATTTTGAAGAATTTACCTTCATTACTGCAGTACAAACAAATGTGGCAGATGACTGCTAGGACGGTTTGGAAGGTTAAGGCTATGTTGAGGTAATCCTCACTACAGTGAGAATTTGCATTCCTCATCCAGACATGTGTGTATATGTTGGGCAGCAGATAAATGTCTGCTGGTGAAAAGGCTGAAGGTAAATGTTCTCTGCATTTAGTCACAGTTGCTGGGGTAGTGGTGGACAAGTTCAGAGTTTCTATGTTGCATCTCTGTTATAAATTCTTTTTTCCTTGATCCACAAATTTAAGCAGGACTTTTGCAGCCAGAAACGAATGTGCATCCTTGCCTCTGTGTTTAGGTTGCTGCTTTGAAGTGATAAGCATACCAGAATGGATAAGAAACTGTGTGGCAGCTTAAGAGTTCCAAAGTAGAGGCTGAACCAGTTAATACATGAAACAAACTGAGGCTATGTTTTACAGTTTTAGTTTGTGGTCAACTTGCTTCTGCCTCAACTGATTCAGTATGACCAGTTAATTGATGGATTGCTAATTAATGGCACATTGGGAAGGGTTCCATGCCCAATTGGACATCATGACTGTGATATCAGGTGGGAGACGGGTTATGCTGTGGACAGGATGTTGGTGGTAGCCTCCAACCTTGAGTGCCCCTATCCCCTTGCTCTCTCCTTATTGTGTACAGCAGGCAGAAAACAGTGAATAAATGAAGCCAGAAAATGTACAAACGCTGCCACCTTTACCAGTAGACTGCCAAGTGCGCTGAGAGTACCATCGTTAGGGCCTTTTCTTCCAACCCCTGTATTGCCACCTCATTCCTGCCATATGAAGCAGTCCTAAACACTTGCCCAATCAATGCCTGAAAAATAGCATGGGCAGTGAAAGATTACATTCATTTGGATGCTGAATATTTGGGCTTCTGATTTCCACACCAGTTCTCCTTCCATAATATTAGAGACTGGCACAATGTTGTTGGATGGTCAGCCTGACTCTATATTATCATATTTTACATAGGCACAGTGGGGGATGGCATTCCTCATTTGTGGCTGTAAAATCCAGTCCACAAGGTTCATTGTGCAGCAGTGTTTTTCAAATTTTAAATATATAAAGATGATATGAATTTTTCAAAAGTGCTGCTTCTTTAAGAAATTTTTATAATCACAGTGCACAATACGATGCATGGTAAGAGTTGGACATATGTCGGATCACTAATTCTCCAAGTATGTTGCAGTCTCCAGGGATGAAGGATTAATCATTTGGGCTTTTTGGTCAATCAAAACAATGTTTTATTTTCTTTCCTTATGTTAGATGTGATAATAGAATAGATGGGAATAAAGTTGTCTGGGAAGGATTGTTGGAGGCGAGAGGTTGTTCCTTGTGGTGGCTTTCTTTTTGGCATCTGCTTTCAGGCCTCTAAACAGAAAATAACCATAAAGGAGGTGTTCTAGTTATGTCAACTTAAAATATACAAGCTACAATGTACAAGTGCATTTCTCCTCCTCTTTTCACCATAAACCAAAAAAA